TCTAATTGTACAAAAAGTTCAGAACCGAATTTATTTTTTGCATAATAAATTCAGCACCAATTTCTTCAAGATTTCACATGTTTATATCAATATTAATTTTTTTAAATGGACAGTTGTTAATCTAAATGATCAAATTGTAATACGTATGAAAATCGGTTTTTATAATAAAAGATATACAGTATATCGAATTTTTCGTTGTCTGGTTCGCTATAAAAAAGGCTTATTAAATCTAGTGTTGAATTATATTTGAATTATATGCATACTTTATCACAACAAAACTTTTGGTAGCATGGTTTAAACAAAAGAATTCAAAACGTAAGTTTATGTAATAAGAGATATGAACCGTTATTATCTGAATATAGATCCAATGGATAGATATCCGGTTCACATGTAATCTTCAAATCTATAAATCATGACTTAGACAATAACCGAATATATTATGTAGTATAATTAAAGTTAACTTTAAAATTCAGTTTGCAAGATATGTTATTTACTATAATAATTTCAATTGATTTAGAAACCGTTTTAATAATTATTATAAAAAATACGGATATCGGATACTTTCAATCTTAAATATATAAAGTGTCCTTTTTATCCCAAAGTTAACCATGTTTTGTTTATCTATACATTTTATCAATTAATCTTAAAACTGATTAAAATCCTTGCTATACAAGATTCGTTTTCTTATAGCTTTACCATTAAAATTTGCATTCTATAGCTTCATTAAAAATGCCTAAACATAATACTACCCATCCCCGAATACCTAAATTTAAAACTGTCCGCCCTCGAATATACAGAAATAAAGATGGATTTATCTCTAGTATTTTGGTTAAAGAAAAAATAACTGCAAGATTCAAATTTGATAAAAAAGATATTGTTACAAAAACAGATAAACAGATAATAGCAAGTCGTGCTACAGTTATATTACAAAATCTCGAAGGAAAAACGGACGTTGTAACCTTTATGCTCGAGACAGTAGAATACAAAAAATTTGGCAATAATTTAACAAAATTAGCAGCTGTAAAAGGAATAATTGAATCTCACGTTCATAAAATTACAGAAGAAATGACGAACCTGAATTTGGTTTTTGAACATATAAATTAGGTCGCTTGCAGTTGAATTTTCAGTTAATATCACTTTTAGAACTCTTTGGAGGAGGGGGAGGGTAAAATGAAACAAACATATAGAATGAGACAATTTGATTGGTCGATGTAAATCAAGTGATTGGTTAGGGTTATCCAGCGTTTTGATTGGTTGTTCATTTTTGGGAGAGACTTCAGATGAGGGTCGAAGAATTATCTCGAACGGCATTAGTTTTCTTAATAAAAAATTTTCTTTAATTTCACTTCTCTAATGATATAGTTTAAAGTACTTAAATTACTTAAATTTCAGAAGTCTTATCATTATATCGACATTGTTAGATTGTTGAAGCAGAAATTTATCTGCATCACGTGATTTTTATTTTACAAAAAAATAAAAATTAGAAGTATACAAACGGACAATATATTTTAATATGTAGTATGTAAAAATAAATAAATATGTCAAATATCTAGAATGTTTTTTAAAAGATCCGTGTTGATTTTGGTTTCTATCTCTAATCTAGAGTTATCGAAACCCGAGAAATGATTAACAATACAATCATTGAATTCTTTTTTGATCATGAGTTTGACAACCTTGCACAACTCCAGGTTGGAGATGATGTTGTATCCTTTTCTTCGAAATCGATAAGGGTGGCCTTGTTGGGATCGAAGTACTCGTAATGCAGAGTGGGCTTGAATATTAACCGCATTTTGAATTCGCACATCTTATATTGCCTCTCGACCTCGTTGCATATTAGGTCAACGAACCTACGTATCATGTTGGCAAGCATTTTCGTGTGTTTTTCTTTGTTGTCGATTAGGTAGTAATCTATTTTTTTTTCGAAAATGACTCTCGGAATCTCATCTTTGAGGTCCTGATGGTATAGTAACTCCTTGTTCTTGATGAAATGATCCAACAATCCTCTGAAGAAGATCGGATACTCATCTTCTTTCTTTGCCAGCACGTAGATTAGGATCATGTCGTTCCGTGATATGCCAACATCCTGGTCAAATTTATGTTTGGCAGTCAACAATAATTCTTGCGTTTCTTCCCGGTTCATAAACCTCGCAAACCAGGTGTCCTTAGAGAGTGCGATGTCAAGCGCCTTATCGTTGGGTACGGGTAGGACGTAATCGCCTATCTGAAAGTAAATGTACGGTGGAGCGACTCGTTTATTGGTTTTCATATATGAAAGTATCAAGGAAATGATAGTGTGGAAGCATTATTTTTATTTCAATTATCGTTACGCAAAATTACATCCATAAAATTTTATCTTTCTCATTCTAAAAATGAATATACATATACATATTTGGGAAACTTTGTATAATTCTCAAATAACTGTAATCAAGTATTTGCATTTTTTTTTATTATACTACATAAAAAGAACTAACAATATATATTATGCGTGTATAAAAAATTGATCGTTATCAGTATTATATAAATTGTGTAGCCACTATCACTGTACTACACATTAAATTATATTACAATACATATATTATAATATTTTTTTATACGCATATAAAAAAATTGATCGTTAGCAGTATTATATAAATTGTGTAACTATTATCACTGTACAGTACTAACATTGTGATTGGTGTCACATTTGCTTAATTCAATATTGACATTTTTAATACAAAGTGAAAAAAAATAATTATTAGTATGCTAATATTTAGAGTGGTTAATATTTTCGCAGTTATTTTCCTTTCACAGCAGATAAATTCTTCAACTTCTTCAATATCAGATGATAATAAATTGACTAAAAATAAAAAAAATATTAACACAAGAATCTATTCATCACAAAATGGGGGTTGCCCACATCTTTCGATGACATCATCATGGTAGTAACATATCATCCGGCCGACAATATGTTGAGTATACCACAACTATAACATTCACCTAAGTGACAGCGTACTTCAACCCATACATGTTAAGTAAGAATGGGGGTTACCCACACTTACCTTAAATATCATATTAAGGGTGTCCTTATGAATGGAATAACAATTGGGCAAAGAATTTTAAGGAAATTAATTTTTAATTAACAAAATTATCATTTACATTGAACAGATTTGTTATAATAAAATTTATTCTAAATACTTACTATGTAATATAATCTGTCAGGATTTCGCAAATTAGTTTAAAATACCGGGGAAGAAATATTATTTTATAAATAAATAATAACAGCTTTGTTTTTAGTGAGTCTTCAATAGCGTTTATATGTAATATAATTTCTTATTGTTGTGCAGCATTTACATACTGCAACTGACATTTATGCTTATAAAGTAAATTTATAAAATTGTCAAGTATAAGTTTATATTAAAAGTGTTAGAATCACAAGAAGCTCAAGTAAATCATATGCATTGAAACCCTATCCCTCTTTATAAACTGAATTCTTAAGATAGACTAACAAACAAGTTTGAGAGTAGTTTAAAGAAATCACATTTATTAAAAACAAATCAAACGTAATGATGAAAGGCTGTGCTGACATAAAAAAATATGCTTATCGGTGAAAAAAACGGCTGTTGCTTGACACGTTAAAATATCATTGCGACCTCCTCTTCGTCAGAATCTTAGACCTTTTGTAGAAATTCAAGCACCTAATACTACTGGTCCTAAATTCTAGAGTAATTCGCCTTCTTGAACAACAAATACGTACTTAAATAAAATC